GGGTTTAAGGTTGACGGCTTAGGGTTTAGGAGGGTTTCCAGCTTTTGCGCCGTGTTTTGCAGGGGGTTTCCGGGCTTCTGTCATGCTTTCTGTGAAGCGTCTAGGGAGTATCATACGGAAGGTCGCCTCCGAGATCAAACCCCTATAAGATGACATGGTGCCGGAAGAAGGGCCCTTAAAGGGAACCAAGTTACAGCACCCTAGAGTACCGTCAAAAGGAACCCCCCCTTAAACCCTTTATGGGGGGGCCTTCGGAATCAAAATAGGATGATGCAAGAGAAGCCGCTGCTCCTCGTGCATGAGAGCAGACCTAGAAGGCCTAAGTACCAATACTGTAGGTTTTTCGCAGATATCTGGGCATTTCAAAGTGTATACTATACTGCTACTTGGACTCTTTGAGACATAGCTCATTTGGTATTGCTCGACCCGGTGTGGAGGAAGTGGACCGACGTTGCCGTCACAGCCCAGAGTCCCCCTAGAAAGGCTACTCATGACTACTTCCCACTAGCAGTAGTCATCACTAGACCCGGCTAAACCCTAAATCCTCGACCCTAAATCGTAAACCCTAAATACCCGCTACTAAGGACCATAAGGGCTCTATTGAAAACCCTGAGCCCACTAGTCGTGGGCCCTCAGGGTTGCTCTTCGGCCACAGCTACAGGGAAAGACCCTGAATCGAAGCGCCACAGCAAAGAAAATGAGACCACCCCTAGGGTTTGGGTTTCGGGTGTAGGGTTTAGGGTGTAGGGTTTCGGGTGATCCTTCGTGACGCCTTGTCTGCAGGAATGCGGATCGTCAGAGCCTCCCCTCAAACTTAAACGCAAGGGTTCGGAAACGTAGCACCACTCTCGCTTAGGGCTCCCCAATGTCATTCTATAGTATCGAAGTCCCTAAACCCTCAACCCCCTTAAGCCATCTTAAGCCCCTACCCTAAACTACCGCCAAACCCCCTAGGCCCTAAACCCTAAACCCTAAACCCTAAACTACCGCCAAACCCTAGGAGCTGGAGATTGCAGTCTCCATGGCCTTCAAGGGAGCCTGGATCGGCCCAGAGCCTGGCGCCGGAGCTTTGGAGACTTGGGTTCGCTGAGATCTCGGGCATGGCTCGGGCTTAGGGCTTAGGGCTTAGGGCTTAGGGTTTAGGGTTTAGGGTTTAGGGTTTAGGGCTTAGGGTTTAGGGCTTAGAGTGTAGAGTCTAAGGTTTCGGGTGTTTAGGTTTTCGGGTTTTCTCATGAAGTTTACAAGGCTTCGAAAATGAGCCCAAACCCTAAACGCTAAACCACGATAACTTCACAGTGATAGGCTGGGCTGTCTAGGGTCCTCACAGGTGAGACTCTGAGCTCTGGGAGGAATCAAGAAGTGGCCGTGGCTTTTTCCACCCATGCACTCGCCATGGTCCTGCAGGTGAGTGGCCCGAGCTGACTTAAAAGTACCAGGGCCTGGCACCACAAGGAGCCCTGGTAGCAGGCAGCGATGCCCAGAGAAAGAAGGATGATATCGGTTTCAGGAAGCTCCCTCATCAAGCACAGGGCCTGCTCCCACTCTGCGACCTTCACACAGGCACCCACCACTGAGCTGTAGACGAGCTTGTCTCTGCCGTCTCTACCAAAGAGAGTCAGGAGGGACAGAGCCATGTCCCAGGCTGATGCCCTCTCGCAGGCGCTGCAAGCCGCGCTGAGGGTGACGGCGTTGGGAGCCGCCGGGAAGTCTGTGAGGAGCCGCAGCGCGAGCTGCCACCGCGCGGCCCGCTCCAAGGCACTCACCACGGCGCTCAGAGCGACCACGTTCGGCTGCAGCTGCGACCTCTTCAGCTCGGCAAGGAGCTGCAGTGCCGAAGGCCACCGGGAGACCTGCAAGCTCCCCACTGATCATGCCTACCTTCAGCAGAAGACCTCACCCAGAAGAACTCCCCCAAATACGTCCCCTGTGACCCGGCGGTGCCTTCTCGCAGGCACTGATGGCAGCGCTGTAGGTCACCACGTTCGCCTCCAGGCTGCGGCGATCGAGCTCGCCGAGAAGCTGCAGGGCCTGCTGCCACAGAGCCGCGCGCTCGCAGCCCGTGATGAGGGTCCCGAAGCTCACAACATCCGGCCGCATCTTCTGCGCGACCGCAGCATTGAGCAGTCGGATCGCCTCATCACGAGAGTCCAAGAGTCTGGATTCACACACCGACACACTGACTCACGGAGCTCCATTCTGGTTTTCTTCTGCGCCTGCTGCCATTCGGAGGAATGTGAAGCGGCACTCAGGGCGGCATTCAGGGTCACCACATCCGGCACCAGCCCTTTCGCAGGCCCGTCTAGAAGCCGGAGAAAGGCCTCAAAGGCCTGCTGCCACTCAGAAGCACGTTCCTGGGTCCGTTCATGTGATTTGGGAGTTTCCGAAAATTAGGGGCCCCTTATTTTGGGGTCCTTATAATAAATATCCTACTATTTGATTACTATATTAGGGTCCCCTAATTTTTCGGAAACCCCCATTTGGAGAAGCAAGAAAGGGGACCGATTCTGAGTCAAGTCGCACAGGCAGCGATGGCCGCGTTGTGCGTCACAATGGTGGCCCAGACGTTGTCAGAAGCCATCTCGGCCATGAGTTCGAAGGCACGGCACCACTGACTGGATACTCCGAAGCTTGTGATGGTCGAGTTGTACGTGATCACGTTGGCCTGGCCAGACTTCAGCAGGTGCAAGGCCAACTGCCACTCCGACTCCATGGAGCTAATCGCCGTGCTGTAGGTGATCACGTCGGGCAGAAGACCTCTCACTTCCAGGTCGGCGAGTACTTGCAGGGCAGATCTCCACTCCGCTGCCTTAGCACAGGCGCTGATGCAGGCGTTCTGCGAGATAAGGTCCGTCTGGACGAGCTGGTGTTCTGCGTCGAGGACGAGTTCCAAGGCACCTTGGGATGCGACAAAAGACTTCTGAAAGCCAAGAAGGGTTTAGGGTTTAGGGTTTAGGAACACCACTTCGAAGCAGTTGAGTTGCTGAGCCACATGCCCGCTTTGGCACAGGCACTGATGGATGCATTCAGAAGCACCAGGTCTCTTTGCAGTCCTTGCAAGCTCACCTGGGGGCTTCCGAAAATAGGGGACCCTGATATAGTACCCTAAATAGTAGGATCCTCATTATAAGAACCCGAAAACTAAGGTACCCCTATTTTTCGGAAACTCCCACCTGATCCAAGAGCACCAGCGCCTTCTGCCAACTCCCCGACTTTTCGCAGGCGCTGATGGCCGCAGTGAAGGTGAGCTCGTTTGCTTGCAGGGCCCTTGCCAGCGCCTCATGCAAGAGCTGCAAAGCCTGCTGCCACCTCTGGGATCTCTCGCAGGCCCCAATCGCGGCAGTGTAGGAGATGATGTCAGCCTGCAACTTCTGAAAACCAAGGCCGCACAAGAGCAGCAGAGCTCCTTGCCAGTCGGCCTGGCGCTTGCAAGCACTGATGGCTTTGTTCCAGGTGATGAGCGCCTGTTGTCCCTGGCAGCATCTTTGATGCATACTTTGACATGCTCTGCCGGTGCCATTGCGATCAGGGACACTCTACCGGCCTACACGGCCTGGTCTGACGGAAGCTTTGCAGCACGGTCATATGCAATATTATGCAATCAGCACTGCAGAGAAGCCCTTGCGCCCGCACCGATGAATCCGACCACAGTCTTCAAGGATAGTCTGATAGTCTACCGCTCGGGTCAAAACCACCATGGTGTGCCCTGCAGGATCGTGAAACTGTTAACCTTGCACCTAAAGTTCCTAACGCACTTTGTTCAGGCCCTGGGCGCAGATGCCTGGCATCCCAAGCGCCGAAGTCCCACTTGGGACCTCGCAAGAATGCCAAGCTGGAGTGTGCAGCACGCCCGTGTTACCTCCAGGGCTCCATGCCAAAGCCAGCATTTAAAGCAAACTCTTTCAGCACGTTCAAAGCCAATGACTCAGATGGGTCAAAAATCTGCCGGAACTTCTGTCTCGATGCAAAGAAACTGACGTGCACTGTTGCAACCCTAACTTGATGTCAGATGTTGTGAATGCCATACACGCTCTTCAGTCTTGAGCAGCTGTACACCACGTGTAGGCCCGGTTAATTTCGAACAAGGACTCCCGCGCGGCCGAAGAGCCGAACGCAACATCCTTGCTAAAATGCATGAGCTTTCCTGTGAAGCCCAGAGCATGCCTAGACTACAGCATTAGACTGTTTGCCAGCCCCTGCAGAAGCCACAAAGTGGAAAGTCCGGTGCATCTTCAAGCTTGTCCTCTGTTCCAGGCACCACCGAGTCGTCCTCTTTCGGTGCCGTTGTCACCGTCTCTCCATCATCATGCGCATCCCTGTCCATGGATTTCACAGGTTCCGGCATGACATCCGTCTCCTGCTGCAGTACCTCCGGCACGTGGGGCTCCGGAGTGAAGTGGGCCTCTTTCTCTGTGTCCTCCGCCTCTTCCATCACCTCAGGGAGCCGTTGCTTCGCCTCAGGGTGATGCTCCTCGGGGATCGCGGCGGAGACCTCCTCTATCACGGGCGATGGAGCATCCTCGGGCTTCTCCACTGCCTCGTTCTCCGGGTCCGGGCGCGTCTCTGCCATCGGGGCTGCACGCGCCTTCGATCCCGAGCATCCCATGGCCACAGAGATCTACGAATCTAAGGGGCGCGGATGACACACGAGCTCCGCGACGGCAGGAGCACAATCTGGAGCTCTTTGGACTTTTCTCCGAATCGGGCCGATGGCAGGTCGAGCAGAAGCATGTGGGTGGTTGTCAAAATTATGGTCCCTTTTTGGGTCCACGGCACCTATTATTTAGGGTACCCCAAAAGGGACCATAATTTTGACAACTACCTATGTGGATGAGGGGATGCTACCCAAAAGGCAAAACCCGCTTGCTCTATTCGGCTGCTGCCACTTTCGCAGATCGAAGCTTGGAGAAGAAGCATTAGAATAGGGTTTTGGGGCTCATTCTACTATAATTAACCAGGATCCTTCAAGTAGTATAGGGGACTTAGTAATCAGAATCGGGTTTTGAGGCAGGCACCTGCGCCGCCCCGCCGAAGGGCACCGCTTTGACGGCAGCAAGAACACTCGCCTGAAGCGTGAGAAGCACGCGAAGGTGTTACGAGCATGAAGTGCAGCTCTGGCTCTGAAACTCGGCGAGGGTTTAGGGTTCAAGGTTTAGGGTTTAGGGTTTAGGTTTAGGGTTTAGAGTGCCCAAACTTCGGCTTATTGAGACCCCCCAAGCGAATGAATATCTTGGACCAGAACACTTTCCAAAACTTCAGTTTATGGGGGGGGCGGCAACATTAAGATGTGTTCGTGAGTAGGGCTTAGGAAAATCAGCTGACGCAACTTCGACTCAGCAGCCTGCCACCGAAGCAGATGCAGCTGGAATTGAAACCACAAACATCGCTCTGGGGATTTCGGTCGTCGGAAAAGCACAACAAGTCACTTCCTCGGCATCTGCCTCGTCTTCTCGCACGGGCCACTGGGCACAGCAGGCCCCCCGCTGCCGTTTGTCACCTCGCAACAAGAAAAACATGCAGCCTCACACAGACAGATGCCAAGATCGATCCTGAGAGCAAAAGCTGACTTTAGGGCTTTAGGGTTTAGGGTTTGGGGTTTAGGGTTTAGGGTTTAGGGTCAGTGCAAGTTCCTTGCAGGGTCCAAGGGCGTCTTCTTTTACTCCCCCCAGGGCTCGTGTCAACAAAGGCATCATTAAACGCCACTGGACACACGGAAATCGAAAATGGCTGCACAGTCGCAACACTACCGCCGCGACTGTCAAAGTGCTTTAAAACGTGATACTCACCCTGAACTCTAAACCCTATACCCTAAACCGTTACTCACCGCTGCACTTCGAACATCCCCTACACCACTGCACAGTCCAAGAGCTCCCGACCGAAGGTGGTCCAGTCATTGTTGCCTGTGACTTATGTCCTGGGCGCTGGTTAACGAATCTACGTGAAGCTAGATCATGGTCTCGAGTAGATATAGACACACATATATATATATACATATGT